AATACTCTCACAGACACAAGCGTGTACTGATGGGTATAAAAACGTGTACAAAAGGAAATTTTGTAAATACTATTGGTAGGAAGTTTTTTATTGGAATATAATCTTTGTCTACACATATCTCTTTGTTCTGGTTGATCCATCTAGTCTGATGTATTTAAATTAGATTTGAGACTAAAAAAAATTCAATTGAAAACATTTTAAGAACATGTTCCATTACTATCAGAATTATATTAGAAAGATTCAAATCAAGTCAGAAATATTCAGATCAAATTAGAAAACATTCAGGTCATATCAGAAACATATTGAAATAAGGCCACAAACATTTAGATCATATCAGAAAAATTTGTACATAATTTATTATTATTATTGTTATCATCATCACCACCACCACCACCATCATTATCAATCATCGTCATCGTTATTATTATCAATATTATATTTGTTATTGTTGTTATTAAAATTGTTTGTTTATATGATATATAGAGAGAACAACGGTCTACTCCCTTCGTTTTGGGTTTTGAGCTTTTCCGCTTCGTCTCCTTCGGCGAAGAGCGGCAGTCCAAGTGTGCAGGCGTCATCGGGCTTCAGGTCGAGACCAAGGGCTCTTCTTCTTTGGTCGAGTGGGTCGTTTGAGTAGAAACGGTTGGAGGACATTGTCAATCGGGTTTCTCCCTTCCGCCGTTACGTTTTGCGCGGTTTAATTACCAATTGATGATGATGGCTTCCAAGACACCGAATGTGAACAAGATGATGGAAGGAGAGCATTGGCGAACAGGAGGGCTAATCGGGAAGGGTAGATGCTCCATAAGAGATGGCTAGGCAGTGGGCACAACATATGGGAGATAGGGCAAGAGGAATCAACTCCAATTGGTTAATGCTTCGACCAATTCCACGTCAACAATCATAGCAATGATCCGGCCTCCTCCTGAACCACCGCCAACTGGGATTGTTAGGGTGCATCTGAATTTCCACTCTTTTAGTTTCTTTTTTATTTTTTTGCTTTGGTGAAACTGGTTTTGTTATTGTCATTTACTTTTATTTTGGTCAGACTCTTGCATTAGGTTTGGGTGATGAGGGGTCTATTTTTAACCGCGTTAGACTCATTCAGATTTCAGACCCATTAGACCATTTGGAGTGGTTGAGAGGCTAAATTGTTAAAAATGGACTCCGTCCATATGAAAACAGTGTTTAGACTCTCACTTTCCTGCATTCCAGCACCGTCAATAAAATACATTCTGCGTATATTTTACCTATCAACTTTGAAAAACATTAATCAAATTTTTATAAGTAATGTTTTTCTTTTTATTTTTTCGATGAATAATTACGAAATAAAATATACATATTTCGATGTAAAAATAAATAAATCTAATTAATTTTTTTAACTTTTTTTTGTTAACAAAATATGAACTTAGTTCAAGTAAAGTTTGATTATGGAATATTCAATTATTTGTGAATGTTCCATGAATTGAAATTTTGTGTTTCATGTTTTTCCGGGGCTCAAAAAACTTCAACAATTAAAATTTCAAAAAAAATCATTTTATATATTACATATTGGTGTCATATGAAAGGTCATAAAAATTTATGAATTTTGATATACTTTTTGAAAAATTTGAATAAAAAATAAAAAAGTTATACAAGTTTAAAATTTTTAAGGATATTATGATGCAGGGATGACATCAGCATGACATCATCCGCACAAAAAAGCAACCCTCTTCCGTCTTTTTTCTCTTCTTTTTTCTTTCTTTTTCCTTTTCCCACCCCTCTTAACCAACCCTCTATATTTAACACCCTTCACCCCCTTTTCCATTTTTAATACCTCTTTTAAATTACCATTGTACACAATTAGGAGTCCAAAAAATCTACATTTAGCTTTTTGGACTCCTAATACCTCACCACTCCAAATGGTCTTATAGGATCAACGAGCCATATTGCTTTTTACAGGGTGATTGACTCTAAGTCTGGTTCGAGGGTCGGCGGTTGGAAGTAGTCGCTTTGTCTTCTTGTTCCCTTGTTGAATGTTGTGATATCAACTTAAGTCATCTTTTTTAAAAGGGTTATTTGTTTATTTATTATTATTATTTAAAAAGAAAACACCAAATTATATTAATTAATCGTTTGCAGTTACAACCAGACAATAATTAAAAGTTCACCAATTATCTTCTGCCCGATTCCATCCAGACTTAAGAAAAGTCCCACTATCGAATTTTGAGACGGTCACCTCCAAAGAATAACACAAATCATTGGCCACCAAACAGGCATCATGGAGTTCATCCCGACTCTTAATGTCATCATAGTCTTTATTACTTCAACAAACTCAAAATAGCCGAAAAGTTTCTTCGGTCCCTGATCAGACATAGAAGAGTTCACCCAACATAGAGCGGAACATTTCGCTGCACATACAAGAGCTTCGAGGCAAATAATGACCATAAGCACCTCAATAAAACCATAAACACAAGCAAACCAAAAAAGAAGTAAAAGGTTGAAAGAAACATAAATAAATCTAGAAAGAAAAATAGACCAATAAACCGTTTGAGGCCAAATCCAAACTTGAAATGTCGTCTTCCAAACCCTAGTCACACGTTCCTTCCATGGTGGCGGTTAGGGAGAGAGACAGACTGACAATGTTGTGTCTTCTTACTCACCATGCTCCTTGTACAACACGTTATGTGTTATGCCTTCATATTCAGCGCCGATGACACACCGCTATAGAGCCAATCTGTCGTAAGTCTCCTCTAAACTTGCCTCCATCCTTACAAATCACTACAACTGTTAAGATCCAGATTCCATCCTAAAAGGTCAACCTGATAGGAGGAGTAATCCATATCTTAATATAGCACTTAATTCCTTCACAAGTTTCCGCTATGGGAATTCAATACCCCTCCTCACGACAGACACTTCGTCTGGAACGTGCCATCATTCATTTTTATCAATTCGTTGTTGTCATTTCTTATAGTCGTGCCATCATTTTTTATAAGGGACCCACACCATGGATCAATTTGACTCTGATACTATGTTAAGACTTGAAACTTCATCCTAAATGGTCAACTTGACAGAAAGAGGAATCCAGATCTTAATATAGTGTTAGTGTTTTAAAGATATTCAGTATGAGACAATAACACCCCTGCTCACGATCAGACACAACAACTACAACCTTCTTGAAATAAAACAAGATTGAGCAAGGCAAAAAACCGCCTCACCCCTTAGCAGACAATAAACAAGCCTTGAGTTTCGTTTACTGTTGACAACGTTTGCAAAACCTCAATTCTCCTTTGCCGCTGTTGACACTGTATCCCAAGAGCACCCTAGACACGCTAGGCCCAATCGCTGAGCCAGACAATCAATTCATTGCCATCGGAAAAAAACTAGACGGGAGTGGATACCTCTGCTAGCACCAGTCTGCTTCTCCCTAGTTTTTTTCATTATTATTATTATTAGTATTGTTATTGTAGTTTTTATTGTTTTTTTAATGTTATTATAAACATAATATCATAGCTCTTGCTATTAATATTTTAAATAATAATAATATTACTATTAGTATTTTATTACTGTAGGTTGTTTCTATGATAAGTAATTAGATTATTATTATTGTCATTATTTTATGTCATTATTACTTAATAAAATATCATATGTACTTAATAAAATATCATATGTTGTTGCTATAGTTATTATTAATTATGACTAGATCATATTATTATTAATATATTCTTAATTGTATTAATATTTGCATGCCACTATTATTATACTATAAATGTAGATTGTTGGTATTTACAATTTAATAAATTTTTTTTGAAAGAATTTACAGTTTAATAATAATAATAATAATAATAATATGTAATATAATGGCATTGATGATACTTATATATTAATGAAACTGTAATTATACAGATAAGGACAACGATAACATAAGGTAAGGATATATATACACAAACATAAAAAAATCTCTCTATTTAAGATCATCCTCCAACTTATGGAAAAAGGTCTCAAATTATGTATACCTTTACCCTGTCATTTTCAATACACAAATCTCTCTAAAACTTTCCCTACCCCAATCCTAAGGACTGCCAATTATAGGTGTATTAATATAATTTTATAATAAGAAGTAGATAATTTAAAAAATACCACCAATTATTTTATGTACATTATTTTGTAGTTAATTTTGTGGTCTCAGTAGCAATTTTTTTTTATTGTTGTACATGATTTTGATATTACTATTAAATTTATTATATATAAAAATGGAATGTTTTATTATTAATAACTAAAAAAGTAAAATAGACAAACAATATTATAGTTAACGTAAATTTACATTTGTCCAAAAGATTGACTCCCCAACCCCAAGGGCCCCCACACCCCGAACCTACAAAAGTACAGAGCATGTGGGAGGTTAATGTAAATTCACATATAAAGAAGGGAGAAATAATTAAAATACCCCAAACTTTGAAGAGGTGTGAGGTAAGCACCCCAAACTTGCATATGTAATTTAAATACCCCAAACTTTATATGAATAGTTATTTTAGCACCTTAGTCATGTATTATTTTTTTCTTAAATGTCAATTTTTTGTGTTAATTTCTTAATTTAAAATATTTTAGCATTCATGAAGATACAATTAACATTCTAAACTTCCATTGTAAAATAAAAAGTATTAAATCCCACTGTATATAATTGCAAAGTTTTCAATTTGATATTTTAAATTATGCAATTAACATCATAAATTTACATTTTTGAAAGAAATGATACGTGACCATGGTGTTAAAATAACATTTTATATAAGTTTGAGGTATTTAAATTACATATGCAAGTTTGGAGTGCTTATCTCACACCCCTTCATAGTTTGAGATATTTTAATTATTTTTCCCTATAAAGAATAATTTGTAGCACATAGAAAATTGTACATTTTTATGTGTTAGAAGTCATTGCTCACAAGCCTTTGTGATTACGACATTGTTTTGAGGTATGATATTTGGGTGAAGGCAAGTCAACAACGTAGACAACACAAGAAGAGCGACGATTATGGGATTCAATCAAGCATCATTCACACATTTATATAGTTTTCCTCTTTCCATTCCTTGCCTCTAGTCTCTCAAAGCAACTTTTATATAGTTTCACATTTGAAATCCTATAAATAAAAACTCCTTGGCCTCCTACATATTCTTACCAAACTCTAGGAGGGGGTCAATTTATTTCCGATGACCTTCTCCATTAAGTATTTGAAAAAAATTTGACTTATAATAACAGAGAAAAATGGAAGACAATAAAAAGAGAAAGAACATTGCCATCCTAGGGGTGTGTTCTATCATCCTAGTTGCTATGGTAGTTGCTATTACAATAGGAAGCCAAGAAACAAATGAGGAGTCAGAAAATGAGAATGGCATGGTTGCATCCCGAAAAGCTATCGAGTCCATATGTAAGCCAACCACATATAAAGAAACTTGTGTCCAAAGCCTCTCCGCCTCGAATACAACTCACTCGTCCACGGATCCTAGAGTGCTTATTCAAGCAGCATTCAATGTCACGATCAATAACATTCGCAATTCGATAAAAAATTCGAGCCTGTTTGCCCATCTCAAGGATGACGCGAGGTCGAAACTTGCATTGGAGAATTGTGAGGAACTAGCCGACCGTGCTATAGAGGATCTCCAAAGGACATTTGTCAAGTTTCAAGACATTGACATGCTCAATCTAGACAATTGGTTGGACGATCTCAAGACCTGGCTTAGCGGTTCCCTCACTTATCAAGAAACATGCTTGAGCGGCTTTCAAGAAATCCCCGGGAACGAAGAGAAACAAATGAGGGAGCTTTTAACAAAGTCCATGGAAATGACAAGCAATGCTCTTGCTATGGTTGCAGAAGTTTCTTCCCTTGTTACGACCCTCGGAGGCGAAGAGCCCCGTGCAAACAACGAGATGAACAAACGTCGTCTTCTGTCAAAGAACTTCCCGAATTGGGTCAGCTCTGGAAGGCGTAGGCTTCTCACGGCCAGCCTCGGCGAGGTGAAACCAAACCTCATCGTAGCCAAGGACGGATCCGGGAATTACACGAGCATCAATGATGCTTTGAAAAACATTCCTACCAAAAGCGATGAAACATTTGTTCTCTACATCAAGGAAGGCGTTTATGAAGAACAAGTTACCATTTTCCGCAACATCACTCATCTCACCATGATAGGCGATGGTTCAAACAAGACGAGAATCACCGGATGGTTGAACTTCATTGACGGAATCTCCACCTATCACACCGCCACCGTTGGTAAGTAAAGAACTAAATATACAAATCCTCTCATTTTTTTGAACTACCATTGATAATCTATAATGTATGTAAATTGCAGCGGTTCTCGGAGATTACTTTATGGCGAGAGACATCGGATTTGAGAACTCCGCCGGGCCGGAAAAGCACCAGGCCGTAGCTCTGAGGGTGGGAGCAGATAAATCCATCTTCTACAACTGCAAGATGGACGGCTACCAAGACACCCTCTATGCCCACACCTACCGCCAGTTCTACCGGAACTGCGAAATCTCCGGCACCATTGATTTCATCTTCGGCGACAGCGCCGCCGTGCTCCAGAACTGCACCATTGTGGTCCGGAAGCCATTGGACAATCAGCAGAACATCGTGACGGCCCAGGGCCGAAAAGACCCGCACCAGCCCACTGGGCTGGTTCTGCAGAACTGCACCATTGTGGCCGACCCGGCTTATTTCCCCGTCCGGTTCACCTTGAAATCGTACCTCGGCCGGCCATGGAAGGAGTACTCCAGAACCGTCATCATGGAATCGTACATCCCCGATTTCATCCAGCCGGAGGGATGGCTGCCGTGGGCGGAGGATTTCGGGCTGGAGACTCTGTTCTACACGGAGTTCAACAACAGGGGACCCGGAGCTTCGAAAGAGAACCGGGTCGATTGGACCGGAATCAAGGAGCTTCCCAAGAACCAAATCAAACGGTTCACCGCCGGGAAATTCATCGACGGGAATAGCTGGATTCGACACTCCGGCGTTCCGTACAATCACGGCCTGATTTACTCGGCACCGAAGAAGGACAAATCGGTGAAGTACTCGCACGTAGACGAAGACGACTTCGAAGATATGGGATCTAAGGAAAAGGACGCTTATGTTTCTCGCCCCGCCGTGAACTCAATTAGTGTTTCCCCTTTCCCGGCTCCTTCACCGGCCCCTTCCCCGGCCGAAGCTGCAACTCCGGTTTATGAATCTCCGGTAGAAGCGCCTTTTAACGATTGGAATTAAACCTGTTACGGAGTATTATTTACATACTCAAATAGTTTAATCTTTTCGCTCTTTGTTTGTCGCGGCTACCGGATCGACTTTCCGGCTGATTGTCTCACTAATGTCAGTAGAGCGTATACTTTAATAGTTTAATGTGTGAAAATTCTAAAAAATATCTAAAGGTATTTGTAGTGTTAAAAAATTCATATCATATCATAGTGTCTTTAAGGAGTGTAGCCTAAACAATACTCCGTATTACAAATATATATGGTGAAAACATTGTCATATAAAATTAAAATAAAATAACCATACTCAAGTAAGCAATACTAGTATATTTCCACATTACTTTCTAGCTTAGAGTTAGACTTTGTTTGTAACCACTTGTGCTTAAATAAAAACACTTTTGGGGAAAAAGTGATTAGCAGTAAAATTTGGTAGTTTTTGGTAAAATAAGTGCTTTTTGTGTAATAGAAAATGTAAAAAGTAGATTCTTCACGAAAGCCGAGAAAGTAAAAGTTGATAATGTTTGGTAAAATAAGTGTTTTTTTCTTAGAAAAAGTTAAAAACACTTTTTTAATGGATTGCAAACAGACCCTTAGTCATTTACGAAAAAGGGAGTTGAGATTTTGAATTGAAAAAAATCAAAATGATTTCGATACAATATCATGACATAAATTTAGCGCCTTGTGCAGTTGTGCAGGACATTGTTAGTAAATACTATCGTATTGAGTGTTCTATTAGTTGAAATTATAGAGCATTAGAGCTCTAAGAATGTTATATTATTTGATATATCAACTATCAAGTCACCTTATTGCTATGTTTGGATAATGTGAACTTAAAATTATACTCTCTATTATGAATGTTATAGTAGATTAGTAGGACAACTATCAAAGTATCAAGTCAAGTTAAAACTTAGAAGTGCAAATCCTAGTTCAAAGTAATAAATTTGGCTAATGAGAGCAGCTAACACCTAGAACTAATTTATTATTACTATTAAGTGACGTATGATGATTTTTAAAGAAAAATGTGGAATTGTGATATAGAAAAAGTCGGTCATAATTTATGATAGAAGTGCTGTGAATAAGCATGAACACAAAATCCGGTTCCGGACGAGTTGATCCTAAAAATTAAAAATGGTAGCTCCTGATTGGAACCTCTATTTCCGAATCTGGTCCCAATTTATTTTATTTTTAACGGAAATTGTCCTAAATAGGACTAATGAGTTCCTAAAAAGAACAAATAGGACTACTACTTTTTAAATTCCCTAAATAGGACTAAACATAGATTTTCTACCCTAAATACCCCTAAGAGTATTAATTCATAATGAAATGCTTTAATTCATAATAAAATCATAAAAAAACGTAAAAAATATTTAAAAAACGTAAAAAAATTATAAAAAATTTATAAAACATTTATAAAATAAAAAATTTAATTTTAATTTTTTTAATTTTTTTTTTAAAAATAATAAAAAATAGTAAAAACCCATAAAAAAATGAAAAAAATTATGGATACATTTCCCACCGCCATCCGCCGCCTCCCAGCACCACCACCTCCGATTGGTGAAATTTCTTCCACTTTTGGTAAAAAAATGCCATCTTTTTCTGAAAATGCCAAAAAGATGGCATAATTACTCTTCAATATGCCAACATTTTCATTGAATATGCCATCATTATGGCATTATTTAAAATGTTGGCATATTTTTCTCCGGTGATGGGAGCTGGTGGTGCTGGGGGTGGCAGGGGTGGTAATGTTTTTTTTTTTTTTAATTTTACGATTTTTTTTTATTTTTTTTTTTTAAAAAAAAATATATTTTTTTAATTTTTTTAAAAAATATTTTTATTAATTTTCTATTATCTTTTTATGATTTTTAGTATTTTTTTCGATTTTTATTATTTTTGTATGATTTTATTATTAATTAAAACATTTCACAAGTTACAAGGGTATATTTGGCCAAACACACATAAATAGTCCTATTAAGGGAATTTAAAAAATGTAGTCCTATTTGTGCAAATTTGCCACTTTTTAGTCCTATTTAGGGAATTGACTCTATTTTTAAACCATGCCTCCCCCTCTATCCCCCTCCGAATAGACATAATAGAAAAAAAAAATCAAGAAAATAAAAGCAAATAAATGTCCGGGGATAAGCCAATAAATGTTATCACATCCCTATACCCCTCTATCTTTTCTATGAAGAAAGGTGACATCATGGTAGAATAAACACTTGAAGGACAGTTGACCGTAAATAATGATTTCACAAACGACAGTAGCATTTATATATAGTAAATTAGTAATAGGAATGAAGAGTTAGAGAAGAGAATACAAAACAAGCAATGGTGTAAAAGCAACTTTTGAAACTACAACTACACATTGAAGCACACATTAAGGCACTAATCTACTTTTTATCTTCCACTTGCCTTCCTGCTTCCCTGGCTTGAGAGCCTGAGCTCAATTTTCTGACAGTGCGTTTGATAGATGCCTGTTTGTAGCGATGTCTGCGGCTTCTACGTCGGCTGCATCATCCAGCAAAAACACCAGTATAGTAAAAGGGTGTTTTACATTTCTTTGAAAAACCAAAAGCAATGTTTATAACCAACTTATGGGGAGGGGTGTTTTACACCTTTTCTATTACACAAACATTGAGTAACCTAAATCATTTGTTTAAACACAATCAATTTTTACTATTAATCACTTTTCATATCATATCAATTAAATTATTTCTCAAATGCAACATTCCTTAAGCATGTTAGATGTGGTCAAATGTTGAGTAACCTGCATTTGCTTGATTAGGTCGAGTCTAATTTGTAATTGTGAGGTAACTCACACATCACTTTGGAGTGAGTTAGGTCAGCTTGGTCTGAGAACCTGGTTTCAATAGCATAGTCAAGAGAGAAAATAGGATAGGCCGAAGAAAAAATCGTTCATATAAATTTTCATAAAAGTTATACTTAAAAAACTATGAATTGACCAAAATTAAGGTGGGACCAAACAGGGGAAGGCCTTTCTTGGAAAAGCCCATGCCTAGTGAGATGATGGTTTCAACGGTTTTCACGCACTCAAAGGTTTGGGGATGCCCGTTTCGAGTCAATTCAGCCCATCTGTCCACCCCTTTATTTGTACAGCCTGATTTCAGCAAAGAGGTGTATGTTGAGAGTTGAGACTCACATCGGTTGTTACAAGGTTTAAGTATAATATTCATACAATTACATGGTTTGAGTCATATTATTCATGTGTGAGACAACATCACCTCTTGAAGATCTATTTAAGGTGAGGTACCCCAATTTAACTTTAAAAAACAATAGACCCCCCCCCCCCCCATTTGTAGCTATTAGTCGATGACACGGTCTATTGGTCTAATAACCGGAAGTAACCATAATAATAGTGACTAGTAGTCCTTGATGAAATTTGCCATTTAGAAGTTACTACTACGCTTACCTGACAAATAGAAGTCCTGCCGTCAGAACCATTCCTCCTATTGCCCAAGATACCCTTTCGCTGAAAAAAATGTCTTCCACCCAGTGTTTGAAACTTTCCAGTGTACTTGAACTGTGAGCAGTTTTGGCAAACTTGGAGTTTGAGATTCCCCATGATTTAGCAGTGGAGTCCCTACTAGATTTGCCTCCATAGCAAGACATTTCTTCTGGATCATCACTCATAGGTTTGACTGAGAAACCAGCAATTCGGCAGAGTTCTGTTCCGTTGGAGATCCATTCTGAGGCCCTGCCGCAAACAAAGTCATTCACTCCGCAAGGTGCAAGAACCTGACAAGCAATTTCATATTTAGACACGATGTATGTAAAGGACTGAAACAAAGAGTAGTATTGCAAAAATAGTTTCTACCTCTATCCCAATGTTAACTCCTGCTTTGACTTTACCCGTGTTAAAATAAAGTGATAACTTTGTGATTGAAAATTGTTTAAAGAGAGAGAGACAATATCCCCTGTGCTTTAGTTCAGGGGTAAGACTGCGTACATCCGACCCCCCCTTACCCCAGCGTAGGTGGGAGCCTTTGCGGCACTGGGGTAATGATGATGATGAATGTAAAGATGAGATTATTTAGGCATGGATGAAAAAAACAGAATGAAGCTTATTTTGGGAGTGGTACCAGTTTAGTCCCTCTATTGTTTACTACTGCCTCCGTCTGACTAGAGACTTAGGGTATGAGAGAGTGGCACAAATATTAACTATTAAGAAAAATGGAATTGTGTGGTTAATATTGAACTTATAAAATATGAAACATCAGTGAGTTTAACATCACAGAGAGTTTAACATCACAGATGTTCCCAAATATTGTCAGGTCAAACCTTAGTGAAACAAACGAAAAAGGAAAGATGGTTTAAAGATAGTGGGACGGAGGGAGTATTACTAAATTTGATCCTTGATCCTTTTTTGGACTCAATTTGGTCATTTACTACACAGCGTAGATTCAATTTAGCTCTCAGGGCATATTTTACTCTAATAATGAAGGACAATTTTGTCCACCAAGGACAATTTAGCTCTCAGGGGTCATCAGTTAATTTATGGCAAACTAAATCAACAAATGGTTTAAAACATAGTGAAACCGTGAAAAACTGAAAACTCATTCTTGCACAGAAACAAATATGTATGAGAACTAAAACAGGTCTAAATGGCATACTTGAGGAATTGAGGGAAAAATTGAGTTCAGAAGAAAGCCTAGGATCAAATTGAGGACGTGTGCAGCTGAGGGACTAATAGGCATTAACTTCTTCAAAATATTACAACAAAAAGGCATTTATCTCAAATGTGCAAAGTAACATCATAGATGTGTAAACCTGTGTCTTTGTATCAACTGCAAAATATGCACTTGAGCAGGCTTGGTACACTCTATCACAGAGAGAGGCACATATAAGTGGAGGTCCTGGCTGGACCCCAACATATGGATCGCATATAGAGCATTCCAACACTTCCCACAAGTGTAAACACTCTTGGCTTGCTTCTCCTGCAGAAGCCAACCTCCTAATGGACAACAATGTAGGATGTGTTTGGGTTACATCACAGCAAGTCTTCCCCCGAAACACCCTGCACAGGTTCAAATCTCTCGGCCCTTTATTTACCTTCCTTGGAGGTTTACCTTCATTGGAAAATCTAGGAAATCGACCACCAGGTGATATACAAACTCCCTCATCTTTACCTGAATTGTTTTAGATGGAATACTTTTTATTTCTTATTGTTTATTTATAACTTA